TAAAAATCTAGCTAATTCAATATTACAGTAAATTAGTAACGGGGATGCAACACGTTTTTTTTGAGGTTTTAGTCAAACGAGACTCAAGGTGCAGTAGTCTTTTGCGGTCAAGATAAAACAAACAGACGTGACCCTCTTCCATTAATTCCTATGATTCTTTGTGACCTTGAGGTTCCCAGGGCAGGCGCTCCCTCTCCCCTCTGGTGTCGCTCTCTAGACTACGAGTAGTCCCCATTTTTCCTCAGGGATAGTAGAGCGACCGAAACGCGAGCGCGCCAGAAAATCACCCCACACGAGTTCTCTCCCCGCCGCATGTCACCTTTTCTCGCGTGGGGTGATTTTCACGCGCGCTCGCGTTTCGCTCGCTCTACTATCCCTGAGGAAAACTGGGGACTACTCGTAGTCACGCCCGGACTCGCCTTCTTCGCTGGCTATTATAAGTGACTCTTTCGACTTTTCTGCCCTGTCCTTTGTTGATTAACTTTGATGGGTTGAAAATGGAGTGAAGAAACTACCAGCAGTGCAAAGACTTTTGAGGGTTAAAGTCCATTCAGGTATTTTTGTCTTCAACAATGCATCTGTATGATAATGAGTATAGCCAGTCTCGTAATATGCAAGACATTTTCAAACATTGTAAATGCTCGCTAAAAGCAGCATAATTATTAATTGTGAAGACCGGACAAGGTAACTCAATGTACATTAATTAATAAGCCCCAAATCAGATATTGATTCCTTGGTGTTCCCGATGCAACTGCAGTCATATTACGCGTTACGCTCAACTGTAAGCTTCGTATGTTAAGAAGAAAAAACTTATCGAGTTTCGTTCGCAGTTTTTCCATCAGAGGTGATAAAAAATAGCTCGTTTTTTCTTTTTCTTTATCGTTTTTTTTCCACATTGAAAACTACAGAGCCAATTGCTAGCTAGTACTTTAGTCCTCAGCGCCGAGTTCCGCGTTATCCGGGTTCAGAAAACTGTCAGGACTCTGGCGACATCAAGCCTATGAACCGACGATCATTATTATTGATTCGTTATTTCTTTTGCTCTTGGGATAAAGACATAAGCAATTTTTAGTGTCAACAGCGACAACAAAGTTTTTAAAATATCCGTGGTGAATTTATGACTTGGCTGTTGAAAAGGAGCAAAGTGTAAAATTACTACAAGTTTTAGACCTACATCATGTAGAGGCCTTTCTTTTTTTTTTTTATTGTTTTTCAAAAATCTGAATTTTCGGGAATATCCATAAGGCGGTGCCATTTTTACTTTATTCTTACATTGCCCAGTGTATCTCTCATCATCTTTCAGTTAACCTACGGACGTATCGGGGGGTCGG